ATTATTAACAAAGAATCTGGTCTTGTTAGGGAGTGTTATGGAGACACCTAATAACTTGTTGTGGGGCACGTGGCGGACGGACGTCGTTCGAGGGGTGTTAGGTAATTCACACTTCCTGCCAGGACAACGAGCGCATACATGTGTGTATGTGTTGTGCGTAGCTGGAATTTCATTAAATAATCGTTAGTGTAAATCAATTTGTTAGATCAAAGTGAAGAGCGGAAGAGCAGAAGAGACTGAGAGTGAGAGTGTGAGTGGGAGAGAGAGAGGGCGAGCGGAGGCGACATGGCGACAAATGAAAAGAAAATATGTGACGATGCTGATGCTGATGCTGATGCTGATGATATTATCAATTTGTGCTGCAAATATTTGACAGCAGCAGCAGCAGCCATTGATGGGCAAATTACAAAACATCAGCACGTGCCGCGAACCGCGACGCTTGAAGTGTGAACACGTGCAATCGCTATCAATGTCCAAAATCAACAATATCGAGCGCAATATCAAATATAAATAGAACGAGCCAAACACTCCTCGGTTGGGGTTAAGCTGACAACGCTTACAGCTCTGGCTCCACCTGAACTACTCTCCAGGGAGCACACACACATTAGAACTAGTTTAAGTATACATATATAAATAAATATATATATACATGTATGTGTGTGTATATATGTTAAATGCAGCTGGGCTCTATCAAAAGCTTCATTGCTTCATCATAATCGCATTAGGTATGTATACTCATCCTTGAGCAGCGTAAATAAAATACAAATAAAATCTATCCGTCATGGTCGCAGCCATTCAATTGTCCTGTCACTGAGCTGCCGCTGCCTCTGCTGCTCCTGCTGCCTCTGCCGTCGCTGCTGTGAAAAGTACAAGCGTTTGAAATTTAATTTAACGCATTTACATGCGGCTTAAGATTTCAGGGCTTCAGGGCATGGTAAACAAATCAAATATATTTAGGAGCAGCAACTCAAACAAAGGGATGCAGGAGCAGCAGGATCGACTGATGTCGACAGCCAAATGAAATTTACTTCTTTTATTTCGGCACTTGATGTAAACGATGGGCCCAGGTTCGGCACAAGGACAAGCACCAAGGACCAAGCACCAAGGACCAGGAGCAGAAGCTGCATCTGCGACCCTGCGCACATGCTACCGTGTCCTGGCTGCCGTAGGGTGGCGGGTGGTGCTGCTGCTCCTTGATAGCGGTGGTGGTTGAGAGTTAAAAACTCAATATTTGAATAACTTACTACCGTGCGAGTGAACTTTGAGGCGGTGCTCGAGCCAAGGGCTTAAGGGCAGCTACAGCAGCTACAGCAGCGACGGCGCGTCCGGCGCTCTCGCAAAAGGACAATTATTTGTTTATGCGTTGTCATTTAAATTGAGTTTTAATGTTGACAACATACAACAGTGACCAAAAAAACACACATAAAATGAAACATACGATTGAGCCCGCCTCGAATGCTTGTGTGCCGTTGTGATTACAAACAATGCACAGATACAGCCTCAGCTCACACTCACACTCGCACTCACACTCATTTGGCAAAGGAAGCAGCTCCATACGGCTGTGCAGTGGGCGGCATAGTGGCATTTATGTGGGCACCATTATTTGCTCTGGGCACGTTCACATTTAAAAGTTATGAGCCCATTATATTCGTAGTAAACACAAATATCCATAATCCATAGCCAGGCCAGGCCCCCTGTGCGACACATGTACGCGTAATTGTTTGTCGATGTCCTCGACTGTCGTGAGAATATTCACTTTTGCCCCAGCGCCCCAGCGCCCCACAGCTCTCCACTACCCACTCCCCAGCTGCCATTCGCTTTGTTTTGTTTTACTGCGTTTCATGTGCATGGAGAGCGCCTGTTGCGTATGCCACACTCCACTGCAACTGCAATGCTAGACACTGATGCAATACGTACTCTCAGAGCAACTGTTGACTGAATATATGGAATCGAGGTTAAAGCAGGTATACAAGTATAACGCCATGCAGGTCTTATATATAATATTTAACTAATCTCAATTATAGCTATAAGCACAATCAGTTCAAGCATCGAGTAGGTAACCTATAATTCAATTAACCTAAATATATGTACAGTTGTGTTCATGCAAATAGCAGTGAGAGCAGCACTACTCATTTTGATAAACCCTGTGAGAGCACCACTACTATTTGCATGTATTGTATTTGTACGATTATCCTATAATTTGTATGATCTTGATGTAAACACAAAAAGTGTAGTGAGAGCTACTCTTTAAATTTGTATATCTAATCTAGTTTATCCAAAATAGTAGTAAAAATTTCGCTACTATTTTTACAAAGCTATAATTAAGCTAACTATTAAATACTTATATTAGCTGTTCCACATAGAAACAAGTAAGAAGACTCTAGTCGAGACGGCTCGACTCGGAGATACCCTGAACCCTCCAGTATGATATTCTAATCACTGTGCGCTTCTTTAGATATACGGACGGACGGACAGACAGACGGACAGGGCCAAATCGACTTAGTTCGTCTACCTGATCAAGAATATATGTATATACTTTGTGGGGTCTGCCACGCCTCCTTCTGCCTGTTACATACTTTTAACAAAACCATTATACCCTGATACCGGACTCAGGGTATACAAAAAAACATAAAAATTAATAAAAATAAAATAAAATAATAATAAAAAAATTAACTCTATGAGTGTGTTTTATTCCTAACACCTTGTTTTAGGATTTTTATTAATAATTTCATGACAGAAATAATAATAAGAGCTGTGAGTATACACTTACTGATTTTATATACATATTTTTATACAGAATTATTACTATTAAATTCTCTGCATAAATTTAATAAACAATCCCGCTAAAAACTGCTCTCGCTTCACCTCAGCTCATATTTTATTACCCATCAAATTTTCGTTCTTCTTTATTAAAAAATTAGCTCAAATTTCGAGAATAAAACGAAAAGCATTATCTCTTAAGCCGAGACACTCAGAACTCATCGCCAATGATTTGTCAGCATTAATCAGATTAGTTAAAGCCATTAAAGTGCCTGTGCGCTGGCTGTGTGCTAAAAACCAAATTCATAACGAGTTTCTACCAGCTGAAGTGTTTTTGCGCAAAAACTGTAATTTTTATTCATTTCCAGGACGCACTCAGAAGTGGCTGCTAAACGATTATTAGCAATTTGATATAACTGCATGTAAGTACAACACGAGAACAAGTCAACAACGAATTCACACACACACACACACAGCAGGCATATGTATGTACACGTGTAGCTACTTACATAAGAGCTTAGCGCGATGCTGTTGTCTCTATAGGTGTATATGTGTGTGTGTGTGTGTGTGTGTGTGTGACAGTAAACAGTAGAAAATCACTTCAGTTAACTAAATCGTCGCAACAACCATGCGCCGACTGCGACGCAGCAGCGCACACAGCACGATGCTATCAAATTGAGAGACAGCAACAGAGCGCGCGCTCTCTCTCTCTCACACACGAACACACGCACACTGTTGACAGCGGCCATTGCAAAAGGCGTGCCAGCTGAGCGACAATAGCCAATCAGCGTTCAGCTGCGCTATGTGACAGCAGCCGCAACGGAACAGCGACGCCAGCAGCGCAGCCACTGGTATGAGAGCAGCAGCCAGCAGGCAGTGGCAGAGACAGCGACTGCGGCCGCCATTTGCCGCTGCAGATGCGTGCAGCGCTGAAAGTTAAGCTCATTGCCATATTTTTGCTTTTTTAACTGTTTTTGCTGTCTGCTTTTTGCTTTCTGTTTTGAGCTCTGGTCGGGCGCTGTTCTCTCTTTTGAATTTACTTTACTAACAAAACATGACTGTTGGGAGGCAAAAAGGAAATTGTTTTATCAAATGGGTTTCCTTACGCTTTTTATTATGAAATTAATTTTCAACATCGTTTCGCCGACGTCGCCGTCGTCGACGTTGTCGTCGGCCCTTTCTCCACACATATATACATATATTTCGCTATACATATGTACGTATATATATGTATGTATATGAGTAATTCCCGCTCTTTGTGCGTCGCTGTTTACTCAACTTAACGCTTTGCCATGGCTCGCCTACCGCCCACAATATTCATAATTGTGTTCCCTTGCAGCATTTAATGGAAATGTTTGCGTAGCTTTGTAGCCCAGTTGCCCGCCTCCTGCCGCCCGCCTCCCACCACTCGACTCTCTGTCCGCTCTTGATATTAAAATGCAAATCTTGATTATGCATTTAAGTTCTGCAGACAAATTAAATTCATTTGCGACGAGCGTTCATTAATCGAGCCCCCATTAGCCCATGCCGCAAGTCCTTAGCTCCTTCGCTCCATGCGCTGCATGTAAATATTTTCTTTTAGTTTTCCATATAGACGTGCACGGCGTACTTAAGCGCATGTTAAGTGCATTGAAGCACCTAAAATCGATGGGCATTTGGCATATGGAAGAGCATTTGATGGGCTTCCATCTACGGAGTGTTGACTTTTTCCACTCTGCAAATCGCAACAACAAATTAATATTGTAATGTTGTCAATAAAGCCGAACATACTCTTTTTTTTTTTTGTTCTAAATATTGTGACTGATATGAGAATGTGTGTGTGTATGCGTGAGTGTGTGTGTGTATTGCGTCATATCTACCAAGTTATCGCAGCAAAGCAGCGAAAGTTACTCAATGCAATTGAAGCCAATGTGAAAATGCTCTGGTCAATCAATAACACTATGCTACAAGTTTAGGAATGGGATTAGCATTAGCAAGAAGTTAAAGTAAAGTTAATCTATTTAGATTTTTACCAGCTCTTTAAAGACATTCGTTTTACACTCGCCTACTGACACACATTGCAGCATGGCCCACTCTTGTTGCGCAGTGTAATCGATACGAAATTTAGACTCAAAATAGAATGGCCACTAAGTCAGTTAGCAAGAATGCCAGACAGCTAATTGTAAAATCAGTTTAGGCGCGATTTTCAATGGGCTCGCTGCAAAAGGCAAAAAGCTCACAACTAAAAATCAAATAAAAAAAAACCTTAACTAATTATTATTGTAAATAAATAGGAAATACATATATTAAATTAATTGAATATGGTTCAATATCAAGGGAACTCCGGTGCCGGCGGCGGTGGTGGTTAGTATTCCACAATCGTGGAAACCGTGATAAAAATCTCATTTGTATTTTTATATAATAAGCCACAAAAGCTGACGACTTAACATTGACTTAATTCATTTAGTCTAAAACTAATTACATAACAAGCTAAAATATATCAAATTTAATTGTTGCATAAAGTGGAAGTGCAAAAGAGAACTGAACTGAAATATTAATGTGATTAGATATTTTTTTATAAACTGAAAACATACAATTATGAACGATTATATATTATGAAAATTTGCAAATGGATTTTAATTAATTTTAATTAAATTAATAACAAAAGTTAATGTATGAACGACTAAACTATTTGTTTATAATGCTAATATTGGATAATATTATAAAACTTTTCGGATTTCTATGTGTTATGCATAAAACGAATAAGAGCCAATTACTAAAATTTAAAGAGGGAGAGAGAGAGAGAGAGAGAGAGAGAGAGAGAGAGAGGTCATAACTGAGACAGTAAAGTTAAATATAGTTGGATATAATTCGAAATAAGTACAAGTTTTCAAATGGATTCTATGTATTTCGTGCCTTAATTTAATTAAATTAATAACAAAAGTTAATGTATGAACAACTAAAGTGTCTGTTTATATTGCTAATATTGTATAATATTATAAAACTCTTCGGATTTCTATGTCAATTACAAATATTTGTATGAAGAGGGAGTCCGCGAAAGAGAGAGAGGCTATATCTGAGACAGTAAAGTTAAATATAGTTGGATATAATTCAAAATAAGTACAAGTGTTCCAGCTGAGAGTGGGCGACCAGGCTACCAACAAAACTCACGATGCCATCAATTCCCATTTTACACGAATTCAGAGTACAAATAATTATGATTTCTGTAGAATGTCATAGATGAGTAAAGTTGAAACAATTAGAGCTCCAAATTTGAATTTTTGATATGTAATTAATATACAATTGATACTTATTTGATAAGCTAATAAAAATACCAAAATACAATATGTTTTTCCGGATACCATAATAACAGTTCTGTAATTGTCGACTTTGCCGACGATGGTTAAAGTTTGTCGCATACAAAAAGAAAAACTAATATTAAAAGAAATTTACTCTCGTAGTTAAAAATGCATATGTATGTATTAGAGAACGCGTATGACAGTCTTTCTATAGATATACAGATTTCTCTTTCTTAAATATATTAAGATGTGCCTATCTGCCCACAAATCTGCGTTTCACTGTTTCTTTTCGTCTTTCTGTTTCTCTCTTCTTCTTCCGTCTATTTCTTCCTCTCTCGTTCTCCCTTCACCTTCACTAACCTCGCCTCCCCCTCTCATTCTATTTTCAACCCCAAATCCCACTCATTCCGTGTGCCCAAACCATTTCCCTCTCGTTTCGTCTCTTTCTAACCAACTCTTCGTCTTCCAGAGCACATTCACATGGTCACCTTGGACAAGACGGGCAAGAAATCCTTTGGCATTTGCATAGTGCGCGGCGAGGTGAAGGATTCGCCGAATACGAAAACAACTGGCATATTCATAAAGGGCATCGTGCCCGATAGTCCTGCGCATCTCTGTGGCAAACTAAAGGTCTGTAGCTGAGATCATAAAAGAGCTGCGTTTACTCAAGCGATACAATCTGCAGGTGGGCGATCGCATTCTATCGCTGAATGGCAAGGATGTGCGGCATGCCACAGAGCAAGCGGTCATTGATCTGATCAAGGATGCGGACTTCAAGATCGAGCTGGAAATACAGACATTCGACAAGAGCGATGAGGCCAACAAAAGCAACGATCCACGCAGCAATGGCTACATGCAGGCCAAAAACAAATTCAATCAAGGTGAGAAGCTTTCACACTGATTTTATAGTCCTATATCTGATTGTTCTCTCCTCAGAGCAAACATCCAGCAATAATATGGGCGGCATGGGCATGACCAGGCAGCCGACGGTGCGCAATGATCCGAAGCGTGGCTCAAACTTCGCAGCCTCCACTCGGGTCAAGCACGTGCCGCTCAACTACGACGAAGACGATGAGGATACGCGTGACATGACCGGACGCATACGTACACAAGCGGGCATTGAGGTATAGTCATGGGCGTACTCTCTAACCCACATCCCACTCATCACACGCTTTCCTTCTATTCAGATCGATCGCGCTTCGGCGGGCAACTGCAAGCTGAACAAGCAGGAAAAAGATCGCGACAAGGAGACGGAGGATGAGTTCGGCTATACCATGGCGAAGATCAACAAGCGCTATAACATGATGAAGGATCTGCGTCGCATCGAGTTCCAGAGGCAGGGCAACCTGCCGCTGGGCATTGCTTTGGCTGGCCACAAGGACAGACAGAAAATGGCCTGCTTTATCGCCGGCGTGGATCCGAATGGCTTGCTGGCCAATCTGGATGTGAAGCCGGGCGACGAGATCGTCGAGGTCAATGGCAATGTGCTGAAGAATCGCTGCCACTTGAATGCCAGCGCCGTCTTTAAGAACGTTGAGGGCGAGAAAATCGTGCTGATTACCTCCCGGCGCAAGGCCAACGATGAGGGCATGTGCGTCAAGCCCATTAAGAAGTTCCCACCATCCACAGATGAGGCAAGCCCAAGATAAACTATTGCCTGTTCAGCTATTAACTTTTCCCATATTCGCAGACGAAATTCATCTTCGATCAGTTCCCCAAGGCGCGCTCGGTTCAGGTACGCAAGGAGGGCTTCCTGGGCATCATGGTCATCTACGGCAAGCACGTCGAGGTGGGCAACGGCATCTTTGTATCTGATTTACGCGAGGGCTCCAACGCAGAGCTGGTAAGTCTTGGCAGAGATCTGCTGTGCCAGCTGCTTATCCTCATCTTGTCTCTCTCTCTCTCTCTCTCTTTCTCTAATCCCAACAGGCGGGCGTCAAAGTCGGTGACATGTTGCTGGCTGTTAATCAGGATGTGACACTGGAGTCGAACTATGATGAGGTATGGGCAGGAAGTAATGGAAACTGATGCGTATGATTTCACTAATATCTATTCAAATAGGCGACCGGACTAATAAAACGTGCCGAGGGCGTGGTCACCCTGATTCTGCTCACACTCAAGAGCGAAGAGTCCATCAGGAGCGAGCGCGAGGCAGAGGAGAAGAAGAAAGAGGGTAATTATGTCATTTATCATAAGCATAACTTATCTTTGAACTATTCCCAATGAACTAATCAACTGACAGAGGCCAAAAAGGAGGCGGAGAAGCCACAAGATCCAGCCACAGCTGAAATAAAGCCAAACAAAAAGATTCTCATTGAGGTGAAGGTGGAAAAGAAACCGTTGGGCGTTATAGTAACCGGTGGCAAGAACAACTTCGTCAAGGTGAGTGAACAGACTCCCATTATCTACTACCTATATATAACTGTATCCGTCTGGCATTTACAGACTGGTTGTGTCATCACACACATTTATCCGGAAGGCGCCATCGCGGCTGACAATCGCCTGAAGATCTTTGATCACATTTGCGACATCAACGGCAATCAGGTGCACTGCGAGAGCATGACCACGCTGAAGGTGCATCAGCTGTTCCACATGACCTACGAGAAGAATGTCAACTTTACAGTTTACCGTGCCGATCCGCCGGAGCTGGAGAAATTCAATGTGGACTTTATGAAGAAGAGCGGCAAGGAATTGGGTCTCTCGCTGGCGCCCAATGAACGCGGCTGCACCATCTCCGAAATTGTATGTATAAACGAATTAGTATTCGTATAGTCGTTTGATAAGCGGATTTTCTTGGCAGATACAAGGACAATATCCAGAAATCGATAGCAAGCTGCAACGCGGCGACATTATAACCAAATTTAACGGCGATGCGCTGGAGGGTCTGCCATTCCAGGTGTGCTATGCATTGTTCAAGGGCGCCAACGGCAAGATCTCGATGGAGGTGACACGGCCAAAGCCCACGCTGCGAACGGAGGCACCCAAGTAGAGGACGAGCGAACGAAATTCATCCACTGTAGATGCGTGTTAGTGCCATGAAGAATAAAACAATTTAGAATCAGTTCTAATTTAATAACATCTTGTGTTCCATTATTGTGGGTTTATTTCATGTTTGGAAACTGCTTATGCTATAGAGCTTGCATTCGATGCGATACGGGGCCATAGATCAGCGCATTCCTTGGCAACCGGCCCGGTTATGGCCGAGCCTTTCATTTCGCCTTTATTGTTTACAATGACCCCCGCATTATCTTCAAAGTATATAAACACCCCGTCCCTCCTCCTGAACGGCTTCCGCTGCCGAATGACCACGGCAGGCATAACCTAAAAATAAACACGCGTTGAAAAAGAGAAACAAACAATTAATAACGCAGAAATTAATAGGAACTGAGCAACCTATAGCTGCTTGTCGCACATGCTAACGCACACACAAACACCGACACACACATTGAGCATCGACTCATTTTGGTTGCGGCAAGCGATACGCAGTATATTTTGCACAATTTCACTTTATATTTACACAAAAGTGCGCAGACTTACCTTCTTTCTCAATTCAGGCTTGCCCTTCTTAACGGTGGCAACAAACATGTCACCAACACCAGCCGCGGGCAGACGGTTCAAGCGACCGCGAATGCCGTGCACAGCAATAACGTACAGGTTCTTGGCACCTGAAAAATGTATTGATATATTTTAGTAATTGCATTGGATTTAGCTAAATTTGTTTTGTACATTACCTGTGTTGTCAGCGCAGTTCATAACAGCGCCTACGGGCAAACCTAGGGAGATGCGGAATTTGCCTCCCGCGGTACCACCACGTCCTAATTGACGAAAAACACAAATAATTAGTTAAACACTTGTATTGCATTAAACACTTCATTATATCATTATTATTTTGCATTGATTGGTCGAATTTCGCACTATTTATTCGGATTTAATTTTCTGGAAAATACCTCTCTTCGACATTTTGCTGCTTGTTCGGAACCAAAAGGAAGTAAAAAGAAAGAGCTAGTTCGGCTACCGAACCACAGCCAACTTAACTGGAATCGTAATCGGAATCGGCAGCGTTGCCACTGCAAGCAAGTAAATAAACCAATTTCAGTTCCGAAAAGACAGCGCTGCCAACTTTTTTAATAGTCGATTTTCTGAGATCAATTAATGACGTTTGTAATTATATTTTTTATATTTTAATTTAATTAATTTAAAGTTACAAATATTTTAAACAATTATTTTTATAGACAGTAAATATCTATTAGAAAATTCATTTATTTGTTAAAGATACATAAGTTCCAATAATTGCTTTAAAAATGTATTTCCTGTGTTTTATAGGCTTCGGTTTATAAAAGAGCTAGTTTAATTAGTTCCAAGTGGTCGATCAGCAGATCCACTGGTTAGTGGCAGATCTTAAGCTTTTGACCGCAGCCAACTTCAATCACGCGCTAAGATTCTAAACTCCACAATTTGTGGACAACCAATCTGGAAAATGGTCGACCAGGGCTTTCTAAGTTACGTTAAAAAACTTATCCATTCATTAGTAGTGTCGACACCGGATCGCGTGACTATAGAAAGATTAGAGCGTGACTATGTAAACGTGGAAGGCTGTGCAGTGCCCTTCAACAAGCTCGGCTTCAAAAACATCGAAAGCCTTTTGCGCTCAATTCCCGACACAGTTGAGGTAATTTTGCATTTTAAGGATTCTCAGGTACATATACTAATAAATATTTATATATTCTTTAGTTAGTAGGCTACGGGCCGATGGCATACGTCCTGGCAAAGAGTAACGCCAAGACCGCCCACATCCAAGCCCTGGTGCAGTGCCAAAAGAGGCCAAGCAACAGGCAAAAAAATCGAAAACGTGGCAAACCCCTATTCTGTTATCCCTCTGAACGATCTGATATCGTGTTTATCAATGAGTATACCAAATCGAACAACGTGCAACTGAATAATTACGGCAATAATAACTACAACCATCGAACGCTTTACAATTCCAATTCATCTGCTAACCAATATGCCAAGCAACCGCCGCAAAGTCAAATTCCAGTTGCTCGCCAAGAAAATTTAAAAAAGGAAACGAATTCTATAACTAATTCGCTTTCCAAATGTAAAATTGCTAATGTTGAGAAACCCTCTTCGGCTGCAGAAAACAGTTTGAAAATTCATAATAATTCAGATAAGCTCGGGTTGCCAAACCAATCCCTCTCAAAGAACCATAAGAAGTGCACTGCACAATATATATCATCTGATGAGGGCTGCGATGAAGATGCTGGACCGGAATATTCTGAGGTATCAAAAGTTAATTATTTATGTTTCCTCATATACACATTAAATTATGTTTTTATTTTAGGATAAAGAAATATTAAATTACAAATATGCAGAGGTGGTCCCTTGTACTAATTTAATTAATAGTGAATCCAATCCAATTCAGAGCACTTGGACAGACCAGCATATTGATTATAGCTCCTCGGATGAAGGTAGTGAATCGGATGCCATTCCAGTCTTTGCTGTGGTAAATATTTATCGTACTTTAAAAAAAAGTCTCATACAGCATTCTAATCACACTTTTTAATCTGTTTCCAGGACCAAAACGTCTTGAGTGTAGAATATCCTAGGGATGCAGTTCGCTTTGATTGTCAATTGCCCAAACAAGATGTGCATAAGAAATTTAAATTGGAAGAACGCGTTGAAGTGCAACTAGTGACGGTAGAAAATATTAATAATATTATATATACTCACTACAATCTATACTCTGTATCAACAGGTGGCTAGTCCGCATAGCTTCTATTTTTGGCTACATGACGAAGAATACGAGGACTACAAAGGCATGTCCTACAACATGCAGTACGTATATTTTAAAAATGTTATATCATACAAGTAATTTGCTGGCTCTTTTTCAGACAATTTTATAGCATCATTAATGATTATAGCTATACGATTCCATTATTTTTAATAATGGTTGGTCATTTGGGTGCTGTTTATGTGAGGGAAGAAAGTTGGCACCGCGCAAAAGTCTTAAATATCAAAGCTGGCAGCAGAATGAATGTGGAGGCAAGCGATTGAGATTCTGTTATTCACAATGTATTTATAGAACTTGTTCAACAGGTGGAACTTATAGATACGGGCGACCGGATGTGGATATGTCACACTGATTTGAAGTATTTGTGCAAAGACTTTGCCAGATTGCCACCTCAATGCTGGCCCGGCAGACTGGCCTGCATTACGCCCAGGCAGGGTCAATACTTTTCCATGGAGGCCAGCAACTACTTTTACGATATTGTCTGCTATCGTCGACTCTTTGCGAAAATTGAGAAGATAAACGATGCTGTAAGGATTTATTTCAGAATTATATATATGATTGTATACTAATGTGATGTTCTCCTTATTTTAGGATAATACCTGCACTATGATACTGGTTGATCCAAATAGTTCGCTGCATACAAAGAACATTAACATGGCGCTCATCGAGTCTGGTTGGGTGCGTCGCTGTTACAAGCCATGAGATTGAAATAGAGCTAAAACGTTAAAAATATTTGTTTTGTTTTTCTATTAATTAATTGTTTTACAAACGAACTTGGACTTCAAGTAATGTAAATTGAAAGACTTTGTTTAAGTTTTATGTTAAGGCAAACGCTGTCCTTCTGCTTTTCATTTATTAGTTTACGTATAATAAAATACTAAGTTACATAAATCTTGAAACAAGTTGTTGTTGTTGTTGTCTTATCGCTTGATTTATGTTTTGAAAATAAGACAAACAAAGTCGCATAAACTACGCAAAAAGATCTCGCTCGCAACTAAATAGTATTTCTTGAAACATAATGCTCAAATTAAAGTTTTTGCAATAAATACATTATTTGTTTTTTTTTTCTTTTTTGTTTGTTTAACTGAATCGTCATAACAATTCCCTATAAAAGACAACATTATCTATTAATGTAGTTTGTATATATGTATGCATGTATGTATGTGTGTATGTATGTCGTGTATATAGTCAATGCTTATGTATGTATGTGGCTTGCTGCTGCTGTTGTTGTTTTTGTTGCCGTTGACGGCAACCTGAGGTTTTCTTTTCTTTTTTATGTGTGTTTTTTTTTATTTATTTAATTATTATTATTTATGTTTTTAGATTGCTCTACTACTTTGTGTCAGTGTTTACTCTTCCTCTTTATTAATTTTTGTTTTCTTGTAGTGAGTGAAAAACTAATAGTTCAACTACTAATGCATTTCGTTAAATTTGCTTTTGCTTCATTTTTGTTTCTTTATCATAATATATTGTTGTCGTGTTTACTCATACTGCTGAGTGTTTTCATTTTTTTTTTTGTTTTTAAATTTTTGTTGCAATGCGTATTTAAATATGCTATATAATCGCAATAATACATAATTGTTGTTTGTTGGTTGCTCTTGAGTACATAATAGCTACGCGCATTTATATTTGTTTTTGTTGTAATTTCATTTTCTTTTCTTTGTTTTGGGTTTGTGGTATGCATAACATAACAAGTTTTCTTTATATCATAAGTTTATGCACGAGTGTGTGAGGGTGTATGTTTAACTACAGGTGTGTGTGTGTGTGTGTGTTTGAGTGTGTGGCTGTCTGTAGGTTAGTAGTAGATCCATAGGACTAACACCTATGTATGTAGCAAATTCAAAAGTCTATTCACTTCGTAATCATTACAATATCATGGGCATAAAACTTATATACTTATATGTATGTAACTGTGTGTGTATGTGTGTGTGTGTGTGTTTTCTCTCTATGGCCGTGTTTCATATCTGTGTGAATGCTTTAACTGACTGCTGAATTTTGTTTGTTTTTTTTTTTTTATCGTATAAGTTATTTTTATGTACTCATCTTTTTTTTTAGTTTTTCATTTTTTTTTTTTTTTCGATTCTTATATTAAAGTTCATCACAGTTAGCGGAGCTGAAATTATGAATAATTATTGAGGACATTGTTGTGTAATACGTTTTCTCTATCTCATTTTTTTCTCTTTTGTTTTTGTTGTTGTCTTCATTTTTTTTTCTTCTACTAAATCGCAATTGCATATATATGTAGACTACTGTAAATTGATTCAGTGTAGTTTTTTTTTTTGATTTTT